GGCCATAGAGAAAGGCAGGGCCACAGAGAAGGGCAGGGCCACAGAGAATGGCAGGGCCACAGAGAATGGCAGGGCCACAGAGAAGGGCAAGGCCACAGAGAATGGCAGGGCCACAAAGAATGGCAGGGCCACAGAGAAGGGCAGGGCCACAGAGAAGGGCAGGGCCACAGAGAATGGCAGGGCCACAGAGAATGGCTCACATTGCTGGCAAACAAAGTTGAGGCTGGCTGATGGTCCTCAATTCTTGACCTACAGGACAGAGATGAAATGGACAGTTCTACAGGACAGAAATGAAATGAACAGTCCTACAGGACAGAAATGACATGGACAGTTCTACAGGACAGAGATGACATGGACAGTCCTACAGGACAGAGATGACATGGACAGTACCACAGGACAGAAATGAAATGAACAGTCCTACAGGACAGAGATGACATGGACAGTTCTACAGGACAGAAATGAAATGAACAGTCCTACAAGACAGACATGAAATGGACAGTTCCACAGGACAGAGATGAAATGGACAGTTCCACAGGACAGAAATGAAATGAACAGTCCTACAGGACAGAGATGAAATGGACAGTTCCACGGGACAGAAATGAAATGAACAGTCCTACAGGACAGAGATTAAATGGACAGTTCCACAGGACAGAAATGAAATGAACAGTCCTACAGGACAGAGATGAAATGGACAGACCTACAGGACACAGATGAAAGGGAAAGACTACAAGACAGAGATGAAATGGACAGACCTACAGGATAGAGATGAAATGGACAGTCTTACAGGATAGAGATGAAATGGACAGACCTACAAGCGAGATATGAAACAGACCTACAGGACAGAAATGGAATGGACAGTCTGACAGGACAGAGATGAAATGGACAGACCTATAGGATACAGATGAAAAGGACAGACTACAAGACAGAGATGAAATGGACAGACCTACATGATACAGATGAAAAGGACAGACTACAAGACAGAGATGAAATGGACAGATCTACAGGACAGAGATGAAATGGACAGTCTTACAGGATAGAGATGAAATGGACAGTCCTACAGGAAGAGATGAAATAGACAGTCCTACAGGAAGAGATGAAATGGACAGTCCTACAGGATAGAGATGAAATGGACAGTCCTACAGGAAGAGATGCAATGGACAGTCCTGCAGGATAGAGATGAAATTGACAGTCCTACAGGAAGAGATGAAATGGACAGTCCTACAGGAAGAGATGAAATGGACAGTCCTACAAGATAGAGATGAAATGGACAGTCTTACAGGATAGAGATGAAATGGACAGTCCTACAGGAAGAGATGAAATTGACAGTCCTACAGGAAGAGATGAAATGGACGTCCTACAGGATAGAGATGAAAGGGACATAATTTTGAAGCCTTGTTTATGTTTATTAGTCTCTTTAAATGTTGAACAAAAAAAATCACCTTAACTGCATCATGGTAATATTTCATATGTACAAACTATGATGACTAGATACAAGAAATTGAATTTTAATTTCACACATTTTTGTTTTGTTCCAAATCAAACTCTTCACTGTTAGCAATCAACATTACAAAGATAAAACATCAGTAAATAAGACAACAGTGCATTGATAAGACATTTAATTTGTTTGAATATTTGTAAATGAAGGCACACGTTTTAAAAATGAAGCAGTTAGCACAACAGTGATGGTAATTTCTTTCTTCTTGTTATTCTTAATCTCTTGTTCATTTCCATCATTAGCATTGCTGGAGGCCAAGTCCTTCATATCAAATAGGACGTAAGGCCACTGGTATTGAAATGGGTTGCTCCCTCTCGAGGATTACAGGGTTGCTTCCCCTTAAAAGTATTTACATGGTTGCTCCGCCTTAAAAGTATTTACAGGGTTAGTCCCCCTCGAGAATCTACAGGGTTTTCCCTCCTAGATGATTTACATGGTTTCTCCCCCTAGAGGATTTACAAGTCAGCTAAGACTTATAGTAGGTTGCCTTTAAAAAATGTTATGAAAATCCACGGCCTTTAAATCAATTGTTTCAACTTGGGATCCCATACCTGAAATAGATTGAACTTGAAGACTGTTGTTAATATATTAACAGTTTTATAATTAGCCGAAGGGATGTCTACATCAGAATAATATTAGAGTAAAGAATACAGAGTATTATTCTGACACTGAGCAATGGAAAAGAGGAAATGTACATTATACAAGTTTGAGCAGGTCATTTTATTAGTCTCTTACTCTTAATAAAATTATTTGAGCAGTGATACAGTGAATTATTTGAAAAGCACCAAAATAAAAAGTACAGAAATAGAAAAACTGTCCATTAAGCATAAACTAAATGTAAATATTTTATTAGTTAATACTAGTGCCATTTGCAACTTAGACTTGTGAAGAAGTCTTGGTCCAAATGGATTATGGTATTAGATATAATCCATTAAATGAATGTCAATTTATTAATCAGACAATAAATGTTGAATATAAACATATTCATTGATATACATTATAAATAATAAGGTCTCATGCACTGCGTGAAGGCAGTTGTCGTGCACCTAGCTTGTACAACTTTAGAAAATCTTTTCCTGGCCGATTTCAAGACATAGCACCATTTCAAAAGGTTGTGCTCCCCTTAACTAAAGGTCTTCTACTTATAAATAATGTGAGTGGGAAAAGCTTCTAAGATAGTCTCCTTATGAGATAATCTTCAGTATCACCTGGGAAAATATTCGAATGATAGTTTCATTATGAGACCATCTTCAGCGCTATCACCAACTGTCAACAAAAAAAAAATACAGCATAGTATTATTTTAAATATAAACTTGTCCATTGAATTTGACATATTTTTTTTCAATACATGTCTAGCTAATCAGAAAAGAATTTACTACCGTATTATAAGCTTGAGAAATGACTTCTTTAGGTAATAACAAATATTATCCCTGACTTGAGACTATTAAATAGCTACGATAATCCCCAGCGCTGTCTCTCTGGTTTCAATGGCGTCATATTTATGTCATAATAGTTATGGTGAAACAAATCAGTAAGCTTGATAGCAAAAGTGGCAGCTCCTCAAATTTGAAGCCTTGCAGTTAAAAAAAACAAACACAATCAAATCACAGACTTAGGAATTCAGTACAATTTTTTTATGCTTGCAAAGTTGTATGCTCATATAAAAATTTCAATGTTTTTTTTTCATCAGCAATGAACATTTTTGCATGTTATTAAAAAAAAATAACCACCAAATTTGCCATTGATGAAGATTTTAACACATGGAAGGCACAAAGAAATAGGACATTAACAGTACAGGATCTTTCCTAGACTGCTGTAAAGGGTCAATAACTGAAATAAAACTATAATATAGAATAGATCAATAGTTTTGTACATGCGAACAAACTATATTGATTGACAGTAAAACTAGTCGTCTGTACAACAGATCAGCTCTTTCAAATTGAATGGTCAATGGGCTGTTTAATGGAGTCTGAACGGTCAGTAGGCTGTTTAGTGGAGTCTGTTGTACAAATGAGAATATGCTTGAATTGTGAAAGAGATGGGGGGGGGGGGGGGGGGAATTAACTAGACTTAGACATTAATTTTTTAGTGCAGTGTTTCTCAAACAGTGTGCCTCAGCTCATTTGTCAAAATTTTTGTTACTTTATTGCATGAAAAAAAGACACATCAACTGTTAAGCAATAAGCACAAACTAGTGAATTGGTTTTAAGCTATCCAAAACTTAATACTGAAAATCTCATTGAGAAACAGGGAAAACAAAGACATAAACCAAACTGCTGTCCAAATGTATGTCAATGCTGGCCAAATGTATGTCAATGCTGGCCAAATGTATGTCAATGCTGGCCAAATGTATGTCAATGCTGGTTAGTGGAACTACCTTCCTTTTTTTAAATTATTATTATCATACCAAGGTGTCAGGATGTATCAAAAAGTAATGCGAAAGTTTTGGAAAATCCTCTTTTTGCAGAAAAATGTCCAGTCCTTGTCAGTTTTTAACATCAATCAGCTGACCCGGATAATCTACAACTGTAAAATAAAACGTTAAGTGTATAAGGTATGAATATAGTGCAATCTACGCAACAACTATGTTAAAGCTAACCTTTCCGTGGGAGCATTCGTTTATCTAAACTACTCTATTTCTCAATTTGTTTAAAAAATCATGGTTCTACTGTAAATATCTATCATTTCTACTCTACTGTACATATATATATATCAATAATTGCTGTGATCCTAAGGCTCTCTTCTCTCAAGACAGTATAACGCATGCTATCTGCTCTCCATTACATTCACTTGGCCTTCACGTTACTGTGGTTGAAAATATATTTACAATGTTATAAATATGATGCCAGTGGCTAAAATTACTAGCAGTGGTTTCTTATTAAAAGACAATGAAAGATCTTCGTCTGTGCTGATCATCTCACAATTTCAACAAAATAGTTTATACACACAAAGTAAACTGCAGCTGATACTGCTATAAATCATGGAAATAATAATATATAACATATATATATACCAGATTGTAGCAAATATTGCATAGAAAGGAATTTATGAATAGAGAGTAGATCAAATCAACAATACAAGTCAAATACTGTGGCTTTATGGAACATGTTAAGCTTCTTCTCACACTCGGTGTCACACTGCTTTATAAAATGTTTCAACTGGCCAGCTAATAAAAAGAAACCACGTTTAAAATAATTCAGAATTGAATCCGTGAAACAAATCGCTCTAAATCTGATTTAAAAAACCAGTTCCTTAATTGTGTTCAATGCCAATTTATCAGCAAAAGCAAAATTGTACAGAAGCACAATGTTACCGATGCAGGGAGCAACCATTGTAAAACACGCCACATCAAATCAGACATTAGACAGGTGCAATCATTGTTTAGCACACATTACACTTGACCAGAATTTAAGACAGCGAGTAATCATTGTTAATACACATCACAGCAGAACTTAGAATCATTTGTTGGAGTGGAAATGTGATATCTTCTCCCCCCCACTCCCTCCCCCCCCCCCCCCCTCTATGTGCCTGATAAGACAATAAAAAGGTAAATATGGTTAAATTGCACTGCAAATATATGTATTCCAACATTCTAATCTTCACAACTTACAATATGTGTGTTGAAATTTGATTTTAAAGGTAGAGCTTCTTCATTGGCTAACATAAAAATTTCTATTTTAATATCTGCACTCATCAGATCAGGTTGGTACAAAAGAGACAAAAGAACACACACACGCACACAAAAAAACCAACCAAAAAAAAAACAGCGCTTGCACATAAATAGTGCCACTGTATCAACCCACATAACTTTTGCCACTGTATCAACCCATATAACTTGTACCACTCCATCAACCCACATAACTTGTACCACTCTGTTAACAATTCAGAATCACAGAAACTCTATTCCTTTAAAAATAACAAATTACTAGCAGAAAATTGTCAATGAAGGCACATTATAAAATATACAATACGCTTTCTAATCTATATTACACAATCATATGTAGAAATGAGGCACTTACAATATACTATCTTAGATATATACACAAACATATGTAGAAATGAGGCACTTACAATACACTATCTTAGATTATATACACAAACATATGTAGAAATGAGGCACTTACAATTTACTTTCTTAGATATACACACAAACATATGTAGAAATTAGGCACTTACAGGAATTGAATACCACCATGTGTTAATCATTTAGAGAGTAGTATAAATGTTATCTAAATAAAACTACTGACAGGTTTCTATTGGAAAGGTCTGATATTCCTTAAGCCAAATCTTCTGTTACTTTTGGAGTTACAATTTTTTTAAAATGATAATAGGGAAGTCAACCTTGACACTAACAAATCTGCACAGTGACTACAATGGTGAAGGAATTTAGAAAGTCTAAAAGTCCATGACACATTGTACTGTATAATTTAAACCTTGTCATCTTAATGTGGTTTTCATCAAGTCTCTACAAGTCTAGCTCCATAACTTGACAGCCTCTATAAGTCTAGCTCCATAACTTGACAGTATCTACAAGTCTAGCTCTATAACTTGACACGCTTTACCAGTCTAGCTCCATAACTTGACAGTCTCTACTAGTCTAGCTCCATAACTTGACAGTCTCTACAAGTCTAGCTCCATAACTTGACAGTCTCTACAAGTGTAGCTCCATAACTTGACAGTCTCTACAAGTGTAGCTCCCTAACTTGACAGTCTCCACAAGTCTAGCTCCTCAACTTGACACTCCTTACAAGTACAGCTCCATAACTTGACAGGCCCCCACTGTTCTCATCATGCTAAACCCAAGTTTATTTTACAAATACATCAGTCCTGTATATCTGGATTGAAACTTTGCATTCAGTAGAACAAAAGTCTCAAAGTAAATTGTGTAACAACATAGTCAATGAGTGTTCTCTCACAATGTGACTTGGTCAACGAGTGTTCTCTCACAGTTTGACTTGGTCAACGAGTGTTCTCTCAGTGTGACTTGTTTAAGGGAGATAGGTTGTTGTTGACCATAAGGGAGATAGTTCCTTCACAACATAAACAACTCTTGCAACAGACTTGTGTTGTTTCCCTGGGGCTTCACCAGTAAATCATTAGACTAGACAAGTAGAGATAGAAAAATAAGACTGTTTTTGAAATAATTATTTTCAAAAAATTTTTTTTCAATTTTCCCGATGAACCCGATGAATTGTTTGCATTTGAAAACTGTTTGCCATTGTGTTGAAAGCCCCGGTGAGAAAATGATCCCTGTAGCAGCTAGATGTCATAATCATTGTCTATGACTTGACGGCCGGCTGCATTTCTTTTGAAGCTTGAGTATTCGCTCTTAGCTGTTGTGTTGTAGATGTTACTGGGTAATAAATCTGGTTGCTCTCTCAGATGATTATACACTGAATCTTCAGCACTGAAATCCTGAAATTGAAATTAAACACATTTTTATAAAATTTCAATGTCATTTCACATGTGGTAAAATCAAGTTGAAGCCTGTATGTGATAAATAAAAATAAGAGTTAACACAACAAAACATATTGTGTAATATGTTTATAGTTACAAGACCAGATGAAGTAAAAGATGAAAGAATACATTTGGAATGCTGACCTACATAAACTTGATCATCTGCACAAAAGGCATTTATGATTTATCAATATTCTGTTCTGACTGTTTTCTATGGACTAGAAGGCTGCACAATCATGAGCACATCAGAACACAACCTACAAGTTATCATCAAATCAGATTGAAGCTAGAAGTTATCAAGCACATCAGAACAGAAGCATCAAGCACATCAGAACAGAAGCTAGAAAATTATTGAGCACATCAGAACTGTAGCTAGAAATTATCAAGCATATCAGACTGAAGCTAGAAGATATCGAGCACATCAAAACACAAGATAGAAGTTATCGAGCACATCAGATAGAAGCTAGAAGTTATCGAGCACATCAGATTGAAACATTATTATCCTGACCATATCTGAACAGCAGATAGAAGTTGTCCAGAACTTATGCTTCCAAAGAATTCATAGAATCTTCTGGCCAGTGATGAACTGAGTTACCCTGCTGGAGTGAGAACCATTGCAGAAAACGTGTATGAAGGCTGATGGAGGTGGCTTGTTATGTTTGTATGACTGCAAGGGAGACTCATAGTTTAGGGAAATCAGACCAAGGGAGACTCAGTTTAGGGAAATGAGACCAAGGGAGAGTCATAGTTTAGTGAAATGAGACTTGATTTTTATGTAGTTCTGATAAAATATATTTTTTTAAACTTCAAAGTTTTGGCATTTTTGGGTTCCATCTTACAGTATACCAGAAAAAGACATTTTAAGAGAGGTCAATGAAAGACATGAGACTGGTCAATGACAGACATGAGACTGGTCAATGACAGACATGAGACTGGTCAATGACAGACATGAGACTGGTCAATGACAAACATCAGATTATCAATGACAGACATGAGACTGGTCAATGACAGACATCAGATTGTCAATGACAGACATCAGACTGGTCAATGACAAACATCAGATTATCAATGACAGACATGAGACTGGTCAATGACAGACATCAGATTGTCAATGACAGACATGAGACTGGTCAATGACAGACATGAGACTGGTCAATGACAGACATGAGACTGGTCAATGACAAACATCAGATTATCAATGACAGACATGAGACTGGTCAATGACAGACATCAGATTGTCAATGACAGACATCAGATTGTCAATGACAGACATCAGACTGGTCAATGAAAGACATGAGACTGGTCAATGACAGACATCAGATTGTCAATGACAGACATCAGACTGGTCAATGACAGACATGAGACTGGTCAATGACAGACATCAGACTTGTCAATGACAGACATCAGACTGGTCAATGACAGACATCAGATTGCACTAACCAAGTTGACCAGTAGCTTACGCTCTGTCCTTTTCATTTCTACTGACATTGAAACTATAGGTCAGTCCCAATGACTGACATTGAAACTATAGGTCATTCCTAATGACTGACATTGAAACTATAGTTCAGTCCCAATGACTGACATTGAAACTATAGGTCAGTAAAATGACTGACATTGAAACTATCGGTCAGTCCCAATGACTCTCGTTATCTGTATTACAGTTGGTAACTTATCAAATAAAAAAAAACTATAAAACGTGTGCGTGGTTCTACATAACAGAAATAACAGGAAGTAATTTATTTTTTAAAAATGAGCTGCAATTTTAAGATTATTTTAAGGCCCCTGTTGTTTCCTTCAATAAACTTCCTGACTCCTTGCAGTCAAGTCATTGTCCATGTAGCAAATGAGACAGGTTTTTGAAGTCTTTTGTTTTGCATTTTCTAAATTATACATCTCGTATACAACTTTGTCTCTTAGTTTTCATTTAAAAAAAAAAAAAATGGACACATTCAGATTGTCGCAGTTGATCACTTGTCTAGATGTGTTTAATGGCTGAGTGTGATGATCTTGGGGTGTACTCACCTTATGAGCTGTTTATAAGTTCAAGTGAGGTGCAATCACCTTGCGATCAGTCATAAGTTCAAGTAGGGGTGTACTCACCTCATGGTCAGTTCAGGAACTGGTGTACTCACCTCATGGTCAGTTCAGGAACTGGTGTACTCACCTCATGGTCAGTTCAGGTACTGGTGTACTCACATCATGGTTAGACAGGTACTGGTGTACTCACCTCATGGTCAGTTCAGGCAGGGGTGTACTCACCTCATGGTCAGTTCAGATAGGGGTGTACTCACCTCATGGTCAGTTCAGGTAGGGGTGTACTCACTTCATGGTCAGTTCAGGTAGGGGTGTACTCACCTCATGGTCAGTTCAGGTACGGCTGTACTCACCTCATGGTCAGATCAGGTACTGGTGTACTCACCTCATGGTCAGTTCAGGTACTGGTGTACTCACCTCATGGTCAGTTCAGGTACTGGTGTACTCACCTCATGGTCAGGTCAGGTACTGGTGTACTCACCTCATGGTCAGTTCAGGTAGGGGTGTACTCACCTCATGGTCAGTTCAGGTACTGGTGTACTCACCTCATGGTCAGTTCAGGTAGGGGTGTACTCACCTCATAGTCAGTTCAGGTAGGGGTGTACTCACCTCATGGTCATTTCAGGTAGGGGTGTACTCACCTCATAGTCAGTTCAGGTAGGGGTGTACTCACCTCATGGTCATTTCAGGTATTGGTGTACTCACCTCATGGTCAGTTCAGGTAGGGGTGTACTCACCTCATGGTCAGTTCAGGTAGGGGTGTACCCACCTCATGGTCAGTTCAGGTATTGGTGTACTCACCTCATGGTCAGTTCAGGTACTGGTGTACCCACCTCATGGTCAGTTCAGGTACTGGTGTACTCACCTCATGGTCAGTTCAGGTACTGGTGTACCCACCTCATGGTCAGTTCAGGTATGGGTGTACTCACCTCATAGTCAGTTCAGGTATTGGTGTACCCACCTCATGGTCAGTTCAGGTACTGGTGTACTCACCTCATGGTCAGTTCAGGTACTGGTGTACCCACCTCATGGTCAGTTCAGGTACGGGTGTACTCACCTCATGGTCAGTTCAGGTACTGGTGTACCCACCTCATGGTCAGTTCAGGTACGGGTGTACCCACCTCATGGTCAGTTCAGGTATTGGTGTACTCACCTCATGGTCAGTTCAGGTACTGGTGTACTCACCTCATAGTCAGTTCAGGTACTGGTGTACCCACCTCATGGTCAGTTCAGGTAGGGGTGTACCCACCTCATGGTCAGTTCAGGTACTGGTGTACTCACCTAATGGTCAGTTCAGGTACTGGTGTACTCACCTCATGGTCATTCATGGAACTTTTGTGGGGATTAGTTGGCTCCTCATATGTGTTCTCCAGTTCAAAGTAGTTTTGTTTGGGACTGTAGTGTCTGGCTGGCACTGGCTTGCCAGGCTCTGAATAGACAACCTCATCGTGATCCTTGTGGACTTGCCCCAGGACTAGTGGTGTAGTTGTTGGACTTTTACACATGTCCTCATTTTGTTTCTGTCTGATATAGAAAAAATTAAAAAATCTTAATTTTATACAAAAAATTGTTAACAATGAAGACAAGTAACATGATCACATTTAAAATTTGTTACCATGTACTTTGATATTTAAGAAAATTATACACCGGGTACACACTACTGTACCACTTGGTGTTTTAACTGCTTGGCAACCATAATAACCTAAATAACCACTCAATATTTATAAGTTACTAAGTTACAACTAAAGTTAGGGCAGGAAGCTCTCTTCAAACATTTTGCAGATTTTATTTCCACCCATATAACAAAACACATTAATTCTTATAATTGACTTGTTCATTCTTATAATTGACTTGATCAGTCTTATAATTGACTTGTTCAGTCTTATAATTGACTTGTTCATTCTTATAATTGACTTGTTCAGTCTAATACTTGACTTGTTCATTCTTATAATTGACTTGTTCAGTCTCAAATAAGCTCCAAATTTCCAAATTTTTTAACATCTTAAATATATATTATCTTCTTTTAATGAAAGAATGTAAAGTGCTGTACCCAAACAGTTTTGAGGTGATCCATAGTAAAGCAAACCACTGGTTTAGAGGATATCATAAAACTCATGTAAAAGTCGGAATTTAAATAAAAATGAAAAAAATATGACTCACCTTTTATATTTACAAATGCAGCATATTAAAATAATGGCACTGATGGTGACAACAGCTGATACAACAGCAATGATGATAATTAACATCATATCTAGGAGAGAAGGGCAAATAGATTAAAATAATGGCACTGATGGTGACAACAGCTGATACAACAGCAATGATGATAATTAACATCATATCTAGGAGAGAAGGGCAAACACAACTACTGTAATATGCATGTAAAGATTTGTAAAATACTTTTACTTTTATGTCAAACAACTATTTAAACTTTCTAAAAATAGAATGCATGAGTTTGTCTTAATGAAACAGATGTTGGAAATAAATCAAATTAATTTGTCCTAACATTTGTGGAAGGGGGTCATTTCAAACTGTTTAGAACTATAATAGTTGTCCTAACATTTGTGGAAGGGGGTCATTTCAAACTGTTTAGAACTATAATAGTTGTCCTAACATTTGTGGAAGGGGGTCATTTCAAACTGTTTAGAACTATAATAGTTGTCCTAACATTTGTGGAAGGGGGTCATTTCAAACTGTTTAGAACTATAATAGTTGTCCTAAAATTATTATTTTATTTTTTCTATTTGTTAAGAGGGGGAGGAGGGTTGATAAAAAGTGTTTTAAACCAGGTCAGGGTCAAGGTAAGGAGTATGGCTAGGGACAGAATTATAAAATAAACAGAATATCAGACTTGATCATTTCTATTACAATGTAAAACAGATACTCTATTGCAAATGAACAGCAACACATCCCATATATGAACAGCAAAACATCCATTCAATAAATAGCAACACATCTACTCAATGAACAGCAACACATCCACTCAGTGAACAACAAAAAATATACCCAATAAATAAGAATACATAAGTCACAAAGGAAAATAATACCTATTTTATCATCCCGTATTTTCTGCTGTATCAGAAAATCCGTTTGACATATGATGGTCATATTTGTACCTAGAAAATAGAGATGAATAGTACTAATGTTGACAAATGACGGTCATGTTTGTACCTAGCTCTGTAGCTGTGTTTATTGTAATAATACAAAGTTAAAAATAAACAATTAACAGTTTTATCAGAAGACAAAAAGATGAGAATTTATAAAATAAAGGTTCTTTCATTGACGTATCTGGTTCCTGGTGTAAATCATCAAACTAATCACTTGAGTTCAAAAATGGTCAGATATTTAGTGAAGTGAGTTTGAATTATGATGTAAAAAGTTACAAAATATATTCTTCACTAGAATGCTAATTATTACAATATGTCTTTAAAATAATATAACCATAAATGATCTTTTAGATTCTGTTATACTGTACATATTTGATGAAAGAAGACTCTCCCATGTGAGGGTAGGAAACCACTGATTTAGTGGTTTTTTTTAATTTATAGGTTTTATAAATCCAAAAGCCAGTGTTGTCTTGAGAAACTAATCTTACCAGTAACCTTGAGCCAAAGACTGTCAGGAATTGAAGCCTCCAAACCACTCACTGTGATATTTACTTCTTGGGAATCCGGTATCAGGTTGCCATCTAGTAGCCAATACAGTTCAGTTTGCCTTAAGATTCTGAAACATGACACCATCATTTGAACCAGAAAATCTGTTTGGCAATTCAGTATTTCAGGGTTAAACAATTATATTTTATTTGATAATTTGGCCAAACACATAGAGCTAAATAAACTCATGAAGTTCAGATACTTCCTCAGCTTAAAATTACTATTGTTACAATCCTCTGATCCATTTATTTAAAGAAAACACATCTGAATGTCAGCCAAAAATTTATTTGGTACCCTTTCTCTGGGGACAGTTTGAGTCTGTTAGAATCTTTGAGTCTGACATCAAGGGCAAGGACGGTCAAATCAGACGTGGAAGAAATGGAACAGGAGCACACGGAAATATTCTTTTGATGTAAAAAATTCTCTTTCCTTAAATTAATGTGGACTTCTGCCATCTGCATCTTGGTGGTTTTATTACAGATATCAAGGTTTAAGTCCAGGCTTTCTCCTGTAAGGAAACAAAGAAGGAACAGCAATGAAATTCATCTGTCCAATTTGAGAAAGAAAAACAATGCAGTAATTCTGCATTTAAAATTGTAACAGACAATGTTACTTATGCATATGACACAGATTTTTCTCTAATATTTGTTCTCAAGGCACAATGGTGCTTTGATATTGAAGAATGATAAGACGAGAAAAAGAAAATATTTTTTGTAGCGGAAGGAGAATTGATGTTTTTTAAATAGAGCGGGAGTGAATGAAATATTGTCGATGTAGAAGTAGAAGGAAGACATATTGGATTTTTCTGATGGGTTTACTGAATTAATATTAGACAAAGAATTGAAAGTGTGTGTGTGTGTGTGTATATTCTCTGCATGGCAACTATAATGGTTATAAAATTGTTCTGATGTCAAGGAATTATGTGATGCATTTAGTGTATAATAAAGTACGGTGTAGCATTCTTCGGATCTTGTTGCTTCTAAGCAAAGAGAAACTATCGTTGGGCAGTTGAATATGATGGCAGTGTTAGCAAGTGAAGAACAATTATGAGCTAACGTTTATGAGTAATAATACTTAATTATAAACGCCTCCATCTAAAAAAGTTACAAAAATGTACTCTTGAAATCAGGCTTGTGGGGCCTTCTTTTTTTTTTTTTTTGTGGGGGGGGGGGTGTTGGGACAAGCTCCATTCCGGACAAATTTTTGTTAGCGGCTGCTCATGCAAATTGTAAAAAACCTTACCTTTAAGTTTAAATATTAGGGCAATAGGTATCTCAGTTTCAATAAAACAATAAATCAGTTTGAACAGCTCATTTTCCAATTAATAAGAGCAATGTCCTTTTTTGTGAGTTATTAACCAGCTCATCCGCCTAAAAAAGCATTTTCTTAATTTGTTAGAAGGAAATTTAGATTTTGATAAGATAATACTGGACTTTTTTTTATTGGGCTTAGTAAAATTAGCATCAAATTAGAAATCATGCCATCACGAATCCTTACTCACCATCTCAAAATAGCTCAATATTAGGTAACCATCTCTTCAAATAATTTTGTTTGGATATTTCCATGCTCCACTAGCAAGTTTCATCAAATGTTTCTCTAATTTTACAAGAGGATTACATTACTGGCAAAATCACTGTGATACATTATTTGTGTGTATTTAAATTGTTGCCAAGACTTAAAATTAAGTGCATTCATTCAAAGGATCGAGATGATTACTTTTACCTCGGAGGACGCGTTGGTCAGATGGATGTCACTCTGGTGAGATCAGGTGCCAAGTGTTTAGATCAAATTTAAAGAAATGTTTTTATCACCACCAATGAAACATTTGATTGAACAGGACAGTGGTCTGTAAACTTTAGTTTTTTTAGCAAAGAGCAATTTTTATTAATTATATTTACTAAGAAAATATTTGGGAACCCCATGATATTAGGATTTTTTTTTATTGAGCGGAATATATTCATTCCTTCAAAGAGCCCCATGGCTTGCAAAACACCCGACTACTTTATCAGAAGTAGATCCTACATGTCCCAGCAACACAGCTCACAGGAGAACGGGGCAGCAGTAATATTCCACTAGTGCTATTTTATTTTTGTGTCTTTTGCTGACAATGAAAAGATGAACAAAAAATTGATTTTTAAAAAAAAATATTATGTGTACTTATGAAATAGTAAATGGCGAAGACTGATCAAAGTCTGGTCAAATTTGAAAAGATTTACAATAATTTCTGGGCATTTAATGTTTTTCTCCAGAAGTATTTGAAATGGAAATCCAAATAGCATGCTGCAGGATTGTTGATTACACTCTATTTTTTTCCTTTTAAATAGTAATTTGTTCAACTTTAGAGCCACCAACATTAAACTAGTCAGTGCCACATACCAGTGGACAGCTGTGAGACAATAGTTTAGATAAAATGGGAAGATCAGTGGAGGAAGACTCAGCAGTGTAAAAAATTTAAGGGTGTCAGTGTTTAGATACAGCATTTCTTACTTGTTGAGACCCGCTGGCTTTCACTCTCTCTCCATTGATATCCCCACTTAAAATATGCAGGAACCTTGACCAAAGGTGAACAAAAGGCCAGATGGGGAAGCCTCTACCAATAAAAGGCAGTGGGACAGAGCTCCTTCGCATCTTATTTTAGTTGTAAAGCCTGTACAGAGACAAGCTAGCTATGTTTGTACAGAGAGACAGGCCAGCTATGTTTGTACAGAGAGACAGGCTAGCTATGTTTGTACAGAGAGACAGGCCAGCTATGTTTGTACAGAGAGACAGGCTAGCTATGTTTGTACAGAGAGACAGGCTAGCTATGTTTGTACAGAGAGACAGGCCAGCTATGTTTGTACAGAGAGACAGGCCAGCTATGTTTGTACAGAGAGACAGGCTAGCTATGTTTGTACAGAGAGGACTGATCGCTATGTTTGTACAGAGAGACAGGCTAGCTATGTTTGTACAGAGAGACAAAGTAGCTCGGTGTTTCCAAACGTAAACGTGGGCCCATGAGGGTGTGGGCCCCACAGGGTGACAATTTGATTGTTTAGTGGGCATTCTATAGTACACTTTTTTTCTTGAACTTTGTTTCACCCCACATTAGATCCCTAGCAGACGGTAGCCTTTGTGCTTAGTCTTTGAAGTATCGTGTTTACTACCCACTTCCAATTAAACATGGTTAGTATGTCTACTAGTATCTTATGGAACATTCTCGATTGTATTAGAAAAGTAAGGGCATTTCTAAACGTGTCGGTAGACACACATATATAAAGGATTTACAGGTACGGAGAGAGACAGAGATTCAGATAGATATATTTTAACTTCACGAGAGGTGTATTATTCTTTGTGTACTTATGTGTTTATTTGCTTTTGTCATTGTACATTATTAATTGGCACATTGTATTCTCTGTGTACCGGTACAAGATCTACCAGATTTTCAGATACTCTGTAAGTTGATGATTTGTAATTATATTTATTTTGTTTTGTAATAGTATTATTACTAAATTAAATCTTATTAATTGTAATTGGTTATGTTTTGGGTGTCATATTTTTGTTATTGTATTTCTCTATGGTATCGTCCTTTGTTAGACACTGTTTGAACGTGCCATAAATTTAAAATAGGAGATTAATTTCTCACAATAGAAGCCAGTGCGTAACAGTGGGGCAATTGGAAAATGGGCTGTCTAGAATTTGAAAACCAACCGTCTACCATGATTTATCTTGCATTTTGAAAAAATAGCAACATCAAAGTATCTATTTACTGCTCACTGCAACTGTCAATTGTAGTCTTGAGGCTAGTTACGCTAAAAATAAGCTAAATAAACTAAAATATACTTAGATGTCAATAATATACCAATGAAAAATATAATATCTTGTGCTGCAGTTGGTGCTCCTTATGTAATGGGCTAGAAAAATAAAATGGCTGCTTAAAATTGATTAAAGATGAGAGTCCAGAAATGCTTATTGTGCATTGTGTTATTCATAGGGAAAAATTTATAGCTAAAAAAATTTGGCCTGTTCTAAATGAAGCACTAAATTCAGTGTAAAGTGTGTCAATGCTGTTAAAGCTAATGTCAAATGTGAACGTTTCTTCAAGCTGTTTTGTAAAGAACAAAATGCAGACTATGTGAGACTTTTGCCTCACACTGAAGTAAGATGGCTTTCAAAATGGAACTGCTTGAAAAGATTTATGGAATTATTTGATCCTCTTGCGATTTTTTTAAAGTGATAAAACTGATATAAATAAAGTATCTGTTAAAGGTCGATGGTAAAAACATTTGTGAGTTATTTAGCCGATATCTTTAAAAAAATAAATATATTAAATAACCAACTTCATGGAAAATATAAAACTCTTGTCGATGAAAAGCGAAGATATTTGGTTGCATTTTTTTTTTTTGCTTGCATCCGTCCGTCACAATGTGACGATGGTGTGGGCTTCGGTAGTCGAAATCCACAAGGACTGGGATTATTCTTCAAGGATTATAGGCTGGTTCCCAACAGCCAATCGCCTCTCTCCACGCCGCTGGATAACTCAAGGGAACATCATTAGCTGCTACAGCTTGGCACCAGTGACGTCGCAGGAGTTGTCGGAATGTTTCATTGTATCAATGTTATCCGCCTTCCGAGACTCCATCTCCGGGTTTGATTTCAGAGTTTCCTTATCTCAGATGAGTTGCCATCCAAGGTTAACGAGTCCCATCCACCCGGGGTGCTGATGATGTTTTTGCTTGACTGGGCATTGGTTGCATTACCTTTAGTGAATTAAGTCAGAAAAATATTTACAATAAAAATTTTGAAAACTGTCATTGGCTCCAAAAATGTGAAAGGACTGATACCGCAATACTTGGTATTGTCGATCATCTGAGAATTCTATCGGTTGATTTAAAAGAAAGATTTTCTGCTTTGAAACAAACTGCTTTTCCAATTTTGATGATGCAGCCAAATTTTTTTCTTCTTCAAATATGCAGTCTCAAGAGAAAAGCAAAATGATAAGTCAGTTAAAACTTTATTTCAATTAAAAGGAGGGATGACTAGCTTTATGAGGAAACAGAAATCAAATATCCAAATTCAAATGCAAACCAAATGTGAAAAAAATCTATTGTTACCGTTTCCATCTTCATAATTTAGCTGAATGTGGATTTAGTGCCATAAATGATTTGTTGCGGGGAAAAAAAAAACAAAAAACAATGAATGCAGCTGGACATAACACAACTGAAGCTAATTAAATTGAAAGCTAAAATAAAATCTATTTGAATCAAGCATCAAGCACAAGCATCTCACTAAACTTAAATAATAAATAATTACTAATAATTAAAATAATATAGAAAAATCTATCATTAAAATTATTTTGTACTTGAATATTTCAGTTCTCTATAAATGTTTTGAAAATTTACTATCAGTTACTATGGTTCCTCACCAATTTCCTAGTGATTTCTTCCTAAAACCTATCATTTAAGTTTCTCCAGTCAACAATCCTATTTTTGAATATTAAAATTTATGTATAAAATTGTTCAATACATTAATCTTAATTAACTTAATAGTAAAAAATAAACATACAGTATAATGTATACACCTCAAAATCGTACATTGTACGCCCAAATCGTAAGAGTAAACAGGTCTGATACAGAGAGCCTGGCTAGCAATATTGTGTTCCAAAGTTTTTTGCCCCATAATTAGCCAGGTTTGTTCACTCTCATTTGTTAAATAAATAAGTGTTATATAAAAACAATCCATGTCGACAGCGTGTTAATTAGCATTATAATAAGTGATGTCATATTGATGTGATTCTGATGTTTTATTAATGTTTTATATTTCTTATTTCTAGCCAGTTTAGTTCATTTTTAGTTGAGTTTAGCTTGGGCCAATTACAGTTCAATATTAGATTATAAATGATGGACTGCGTTCAAGCTGTGTTAATGAAATAGCAGCACAAGGTATGTTGAAGCTTGAATCGAAAGACAGGTCAATAAGATGTGAACGTTTCGGCTTAGTGCCTTTCTTCAGCGAACAGGACAAATAAAAATACTAAATATTTTGGTCTGTAAAGATTCTGGACCTCATTTTTTACAGTACCAATATTTATATTCTTTCACTTCTTGTAATCCTACTTCCGCAACAACAAAGGAGATCTCTAAAGTTTTTTTTTTACTGTGCTCTGATTCTTTTCGTATTATTATTTGTCCTTATCTTTATTTTGATTAGAGTTTTATTGGTTTGTTCTTTGTGCTTGAACTCTCTGAGTCCATATTTCTCTAAGTTCCTGACTGCTATAAACCGCTTTCTTTGTTACAGGCTGTTCTATATATCATTGATAATACACTATACCGACGGATAGAATATAGATCATGCTCCTTTGAGGAATTAAGGGTTCTCTTTCAGTACTCCTTTGCGTCTCAAGTGATCAACCATCACTACACTCACGCATACATACAATGACACTCTCACATACAAGTTTAACTATAACTGATGTATTATTGGATAAAACTTGCGATTGAGCCCACACATATATTGACATTTAATACAAATGGACACTTCTTCTTCTATTTGGCATGTTTGGTACTGCATGACCTACTTAGGCCAGAACAGGTTCCAATTGGCATGTTCTGTAAGGGATGACCTACTTAGGCAAGCACAGGTTCCAATTGCCATTTTCTGTAATAGATGACCTACTCAGACCAGCAAATGCTCCAGTTACAAGAACGTGAGTTTATCTTTCCTTTGGATTGTATTTGATCTCATTATGACCTACTTAGGCAAGCACAGGTTCCAATTGCCATTTTCTGTAATAGATGACCTACTCAGACCAGCAAATGCTCCAGTTACAAGAACGTGAGTTTATCTTTCCTTTGGATTGTATTTGATCTCATTTTTTTAACACTTCTTAATACTTAATAGATGAAGGAAAAGACATATATGTTATTTTCTACCTGTATTCTTAGGACCAATACAATACAATATCAAATATATATAATGCTCTACCTGTATTCTTAGAAGCAATACAATACAATGCCAAATATATGTTATGCCCTACCTGTATTGTTAGACACAATACAAGGTCAAAGAAAATGAGTATCAAGAATTGACTTACTGTCATGACAGCCATAATCCACCGCCAGACGATAAGTTGATCTTGTCAAATGTTGAATCTCACTTTGAATAACTTTTATTTCTTTAACTTCTGACATTTTTTTCCCACTAAAAGATTGAATGATGCTTTCAGCTATATTTTTTGCTAGTACTTTATTTTCTTCCTGCAAGCATGTAGCATTGTATTCTCACTTTGAATAACTTTTATTTCTTTAACTTCTGACATTTTTTTCCCACTAAAAGATTGAATGATGCTTTCAGCTATATTTTTTGCTAGTACTTTATTTTCTTCCTGCAAGCATGTAGCATTGTAACTGGGTAAAGGTGGACCAAAAATATTGATAGGTTTAGGGCAAGTGCTGTCATCTTGATATAGTTGAAAGTCTTTTATATAAATAATATCATTGTCATTGGCACACAGATTTTCCTTAGAATCAAATGACCATTCTCTTGTGGTGTTTGTACAAAATGTCCATATTTTAACATCAGAGGGTCTAGATTTGATATCAGATCGGCACTTCTCCGGCAGAGGATCCACTGGCAAATAAGATAGAAGAGTTAAAAGAAATTTAGTTGGGAATTTATCAATAAAATATTATTGAAATATGACTGTCTTACTATAATGCAACTATCCCCAGTGAGTCTTGTTTCAAACAAGGCTGTCTTACTATAAAGTAACAATAATGAATTTTTCTTGTCCCATCACTAAACAAGTCTGGCACATTATTATTACATTGGTGTATGTGTGTCACAAGTTAACTAAAATACCATCTAAAAATCCAAACTGCAGAAGTACAATAAAACCAACTAATATTGTTGTATATACCTACCAGATGTAAAGTGAGACCAACTAATATTGTTGTATATACCTACCAGATGTATAGTGAGACCAACTAATATTGTTGTATATACCTACCAGATGTATAGTGAGACCAACTAATATTTTTGTATATACCTACCAGATTTACAGTGAGACCAACTAATATTGTTGTATATACCTACCAGATGCACAGTGAGACCAACTAATATTGTTGTAGCCTACCTACCAGATGTACAGTGAGACCAACTAATATTGTTATATCATACCTACCAGATGTACACTAAGTCCAACTAATATTCTTGTATGTACACAGTGAGACCATCTAATATTGTTGTATATACCTACCAGATACACAATGAGACCAACTAATATTGTTGTATATACCTACCAGATGTACAGTGAGACCAATGCATCACTAGCAAGATGAAACACAAGACAGGTAGGGCAGTACCCCTAAACTCCTTCATCTCGAAGTAACTCCTTTTCCCTGGGATTGCTAAAAAAAAAATAATAAAAGGTGCAAACATTTAAAATCATGACTACTTACACTATAAGCTAAATGACAGATCAAGCAATCCTATTATAAAATTTTAATTTCTCTAACATCTCCATAATTCTATGTCATCTTCTAGCTACCTTGTTTGTCAGTCACTTTGTTTCTTCATCATCGTTTGTGCATATACACTGCCATGAAAATGTGACTAACATGGAGTGGTCACACTGCAAGGGACACATGACACTTGACATGGACACATCAAACTACCGCCCAATATCCCTGACCTCCGTACCATGCAAAATTCTATAACACATCATCTGTCGCCACATCATGAACTACCTTGAACACTACAACATCTTGACCAACGTAAACCACAGTTTCCGCTCTGAATTCTCAACAGAAATTCAATTAAATCATCACCACCAATGACCTCCTTTCCTCCTATGACAAAGGTAAACAGGTCACCGGCCAGTAGTATAGTAATCCCACCCATAAGGTATTTATTACTCTGCTGTCATGAAGATTTCTGTCCAATGCTTCTATTTCCCCGCTGTGAGCAAAGGATGCACTCATGCCAAGCAATCAACTTGCACTCCTGAAGTCCATAAGCTCTATGGCACTGTTTTGAAATGCCGCACAAAGCTCAGAGTGATTTAAGTTGAGAGGCAGTTTAGTTAGAGGACAGAGTGAGCTGTACAAAGGCAGAGTGAGCTGTCTAAAGGCAGAGTGAGCTGTCTAAAGGCAGACTGAGCTGTCTAAAGGCAGAGTGAGCTGTACAAAGGCAGAGTGAGCTGTACAAAGGCAGAGTGAGCCAACAAAGCTGCTGCTATACACAAGTAAGCTACAGAAATTGCAATTTTCTTTTCCTTTCTTACTCTACAAAGCAGCACTCAATGGGCACCATTCAATGACAGTCAATGGGCACCATTCGATGACAGTCAATGGGCACCATTCGATGACAGTCAATGGGCACCATTCGATGACACTCAATGGGCACCATTCGATGAAAATAAACTATGTCAATTCCAATGTTCCAAAGTAGGCATCTAAGATTCTAAGATTGACTTTTTAAAATGTCTAAAAGAGATTAAATAATTCATTTTAATTTTCACCGTTATAGACCAACAGTGAGAACTCGAGATTTGTTAGAGACCTTGATGACGCCGATGTCACTAATCTTCTATTAGTCTTTACCCACCTAGAAAGCTGAACACGATTCCTGTTAAACTGGTCTCACTTTAGACACTTTGATGAGAATAAATTAACCTGTGTTTAAGTTCATTAATAATTGATTTAAAAGAGACATCTTAAAAAATGTCATATACCTAACATTAAAAAGAAAAAAAAATATGTTTAAATATTATGATTAACAAAGAACTCTTATTTTGTTTATGGAACCAAATGATCAACCGTTATTGAAAAATAAGAGTTTCTTTATCTTGTGGCGATATTTAACCTTAGACACATGGTTTAAGTAGGTAAATATAAAAATTCTTGCTGGATGTGCAACACAATAACAAAACTACAATAGCGCATGTTCAAATGCAATCAACATGAAAAACTAGACAAACCCAAAACAAGTTAACAAAAGAAAACATTGCTTTCAAGTTTTGGTCATTTTAGGCTATTTAAAGCTGAAATTGGGAGAAATAAAAAAAAATTAATTATATAGACAAGTGCTTTAAAGTAATAGACTAGAAGTCCTGTCAAAAAAGTCCTGTCAGACCGTGCTCATTCATTTTGGCAGGCAGAAGAGGTTAACAAAATACCTTTTTGAGTATAATGTGTTGCCACTTCAACTGTGAAGCCTTCAACCATATGTGATGATCATGTTACATTAGCATTGTAACTAAAGGCGTAAAACAAGGCTGTGTTCTAGCCCCAACACTAGTTAGCATGGTATTCTCAGCAATGCTCATTGATGCTTTCCTTGACAATATAAATAATGACGACTTTCCTATAAGATACAGAACAGACGGAGGTCTATTTAATCTTAGGAGACTGCAAGCCATTGCGCAAGTTAAAGAAACGGTTATTCAAGACCTCTTATTTGTTGAGGACTGTGCCCTTAACGCACAGTTTGGAACTTAAAAATCCAATAATTACTTGATCGCTTTGCTAAAGCCTGCGACAGCGAAAGCCTCGCAATTAATACGAAACAGGGGCTTTACTCCAGCCAGCTCCAGGGAAAGAGCTTAAAAAATATCAGTGAAGGAACAGAATATCCAAGCAGTGGAAAATTTCAGAAATTCGGCCAGCATCCGCTCCAGATCAACAACCGAATTTTCAAAGCAAGCGTTGCTTTTGAAAGGCTCCGCAAGAGTGTTTAGTAGCAAAGGGGATTTCAGTCTTGTCATTAAGCTGACAGTATATATGGCAACTGTATTAACATATATCATATATGCAATTGAGAGGTTGGCAGAGTACAGATTACATGATAGGCAGCTAAAAGATCTCCAACTACGCCGCCTACGTAAACATCTTGGTATAAGGTGGCAGGACAAGGTCCATGATACATAGGTCCTACAATGGGACGCCAGGACTAGGTCCTTGATACAGAGGTCTTACAATGGACTGGTTTTATCAGCATCCACACACTTCGACAAAAAGGTAAAGAAAGGTGGACAGGGCATGGTGCAAGAATGTCAGACATCAGACTTCCTAAAACTACTAATAATCGGTGAACTCTCCAGTGGGAAACACTTAGCTGGTGGGCAGAAAAGACGCTTCAAAGACTGTCTGAAAGCTTCACTAAAATCTATGAACATTGACCTTGATTCGTGGGAGTTGCTTGCTATGGACCGCGCAATCTGGAGTGGCAGACTCACTGTTGGAGCACACAATCTGAGTGACAGACTCACTGTTGGAGCACACAATCTGTGGTGACAGACTCACTGTTGGAGCACACAATCTGGAGTGACAGACTCACTGCTGGACCACACAATCTGGAGTGGCAGACTCACTGCTGGACCACACAATCTGGAGTGGTCAGACTCACTGTTGGAGCACACAATCTGGAGTGACAGACTCACTGCTGGACCACAATCTGGAGTGACAGACTCACTGCTGGACCACACAATCTGGAGTGGTAGACTCACTGCTGGAGCACACAATCTGGAGTGACAGACTCACTTTTGGAGCACACAATCTGTGGTGACAGACTCACTGCTGGAGCACACAATCTGGAGTGACAGACTCACTGCTGGAGCACACAATCTGGAGTGACAGACTCACTGTTGGAGCACACAATCTGGAGTGACAAACTCACTGTTAGAGCACACAATCTGGAGTGACAGACTCACTTTTGGAGCACTCAATCTGGAGTTGTAGACTCGCTGCTGGAGCACATAATCCGGAGTGGTACACTCGCTGCTGGAGCACACAATCTGGAATGACAGACTCACTGTTGGAGCACACAATCTGTGGTGACAGACTCACTTTTGGAGCACACAATCTGGAGTGACAGACTCACTGCTGGACCACACAATCTGGAGTGACAGACTCACTTTTGGAGCACATAATCTGTGGTGACAGACTCACTGCTGGAGCACACAATCTGGAGTGACAGACTCACTGCTGGAGCACACAATCTGGAGTGACAGACTCGCTGCTGGAGCACACAATCTGGAGTGACAGACTCACTGCTGGAGCACACAATCTGGAGTGACAGACTCGCTGCTGGAGCACAATCCTGAGCACAGCTTAACCCCAAAAAGAAGCCCAAAGAAAAAGCGCGGTAAGGAAAAGCAGAATCCACTCAAATCCAACTAGGACCCAAATCAACGTGTGTCCCGTGTGCGGGAAAGCTTTGCGGGCACAAATAGGACAGGCAGGCCTAATGCTTACTCATCGTGGAATATAGCCTCGGTCATCTTGGAAAGCAATGGACGAACTACAACAACACATAAACACTGGCTGCATAAAAGTTAAATAATTTGAATGTTCCTTTCAGTATCCTCGATGAATTCGAATTGCATGAATATCTCTAGAACTGATTTATGTAACAGTTAGCTAGTGGATATTAAGAAGAGTTAAGTTGATGAAAACCTAACAAGAATAATATCGTAGGTGTAAGTATATCTAAATGGCTCAGTACTGTACCACACTTTACCGACCTCTGACCTTTCACCTAACTCTTCACCCTATAAGCTTGGCGCTATTACAGAGTTTCTCAAATGGAAGATGGCAGGTTTTGACTTAGCTCTCAGGACAACAACCCCCCCCCCCCCCCCCCCCCNCAAGGATTGGCGACTTGAAAGTTCAACGAGCTTAAATTCGCTGTGGCAAGGATTGGCGACTTGAAAGTTCAACGAGCTTAAATTCGCTGTGGCAAGGATTGGCGACTTGAAAGTTCAACGAGCTTAAATTCGCTGTGGCAAGGATTGGCGACTTGAAAGTTCAACGAGCTTAAATTCGCTGTGGCAAGGATTGGCGACTTGAAAGTTCAACGAGCTTAAATTCGCTGTGGCAAGGATTGGCGACTTGAAAGTTCAACGAGCTTAAATTCGCTGTGGCAAGGATTGGCGACTTGAAAGTTCAACGAGCTTAAATTCGCTGTGGCAAGGATTGGCGACTTGAAAGTTCAACGAGCTTAAATTCGCTGTGGCAAGGATTGGCGACTTGAAAGTTCAACGAGCTTAAATTCGCTGTGGCAAGGATTGGCGACTTGAAAGTTCAACGAGCTTAAATTCGCTGTGGCAAGGATTGGCGACTTGAAAGTTCAACGAGCTTAAATTCGCTGTGGCAAGGATTGGCGACTTGAAAGTTCAACGAGCTTAAATTCGCTGTGGCAAGGATTGCCCACTGCTTTAGGAAGAGCTTCCTTCCACTTTTAAGAGTGTTTTCAAGTGGCAAGAGTCCAGGTCAGCACAAATGACGTGTCCATTACATAAGCAAAGTTGATAATAATTTATTGCTTTATTAGCAAGGCTACGGAGACAAGCCTGCATTTGAAAACACTAGACCCATGGTTTCCTAATGGGATAGGAGGGGGGGCAGGGAGAGGCAGGGAATGGGAGGGACAGATACAGTGAGTGAGTGCGACAAAAAAGAGGGGTGGGGTGGGTCATAGTTTATCTTTCTATGTGGCTATATATTAATTATGAAAAGGGGGTGCCAATTTGAAAATAGAACCAGCCATATTTATGTATCAATATATTTAAAAATTGGTGTGTGATAACAATATGGTATGTGATAACAATTTGGTGTGTAATAACAATATCGGGTGTGGTAACAATATGGTGTGGGGTAACAATATGGTGTGTGGTAATAATATGGGGTGTGATAACAATACGGGGTGTGATAACAATATGGTGTGTGGTAACAATATGGGGTGTGATAACAATATGGTTGTGTGATAACAATATGGGGTGTGATAACAATATGGGGTGTGGTAACAATATGGTGTGTGGTAATATGGTGTGTGGTAATAATATGGGGTGTGATAACAATATGGTGTGTGGTACAATAAGGGGTGTGATAACAATATGGGGTGTGATAACAATATGGTTGTGTGATAACAATATGGGGTGTGATAACAATATGGGGTGTGATAACAATATGGGTGTGGTAACAATATGGGGTGTGGTACAATATGGTGTGTGGTAATATGGTGTGTGGTAACAATATGGTGTGTGGTAACAATATGGTTGTGTGATAACAATATGGGGTGTGATAACAATATGGTGTGTGGTAACAATATGGTGTGTGGTAACAATATGGTGTGTGGTAACAATATGGTTGTGTGATAACAATATGGGGTGTGATAACAATATGGGGTTTGATAACAATATGGGGTTTGATAACAATAAGGTGTGTGGTAATAATATGGTGTGTGGTAATAATATGGGGTGTGATAACAATATGGTGTGTGGTAACAATATGGTGTGTGGTAACAATAAGGGGTGTGATAACAATATGGTTGTGTGATAACAACATGGTTGTGTGATAACAATATGGTTGTGTGATAACAATATGGGGTGTGATAACAATATGGGGTGTGATAACAATATGGGGTGTGATAACAATATGGGGTGTGATAACAATATGGGGTGTGATAACAATATGAGGTGTGATAACAATATGGTTGTGTGATAACAATATGGTTGTGTGATAACAATATGGTTGTGTGATAACAATATGGGGTGTGATAACAATATGGGGTGTGATAATAATATGGGGTGTAATAACAATATGGGGTGTGATAACAATATGGGGTGTGATAACAATATGGTTGTGTGATAACAATATGGGGTGTGATAACAATATGGGGTGTGATAACAATATGGGGTGTGATAACAATATGGGGCGTGGTAACAAAATGGGGTGTGATAACAATATGGGGTGTGATAACAATATGGGGTGTGATAACAATATGGGGTGTGATAACAATATGGGGCGTGGTAACAAAATGGGGTGTGATAACAATATGGGGTGTGATAAAAATATGGGGTGTGGTAACATCAAGTTTTTCAACCACTCTACTGATGACTTTTATATTTTTTGTTTTTTGGTTAAATATTATCAAATCATCAAATTGTTGCAGACCAGATCAGATCAGATCAGAACTGAACAGCCAAGTCTGAGACACCGTTATTTGTGTCTATTCATATAATGTTGACAGTATTACAGTAGATGGAACACAGTAGATGGATCACAGTAAATGGATTACAGTATATGGATCACAGTATATGGGTCACAGTAGATGGAACACAGCATATGGATAACATAAGATGGATCACAACAGATGGATCACAGTATATGGATCATAGCAAATGGATCTCAGTATATGGAACACATTATATGGCTCACAGCAGATGGATCTCAGCAGATGGATCACAGTAGATGGAACACAGCAGATGGATCTCAGCAGATGGATCTCAGCAGATGGAACACAGCAGATGGATCACAGTCTATGGATCACAGTATATGGATCACAGAAGATGGATCAAAGTAGATTGATCACAGCAGATGGATCACAGTAGATGGAACACAGCAGATGGATAACATGAGATGGATCCCAGTACCGGTATTTGGATCACAGTGTATGGATCACAGTATAAAGGTCACAGAAGATAGATCACATTATATGGATCACAGCAAATGGATCACAGTATATGGATCAAAGCAGATGGAACACAGTAGCAGGTAGCACTTTCTTGGTCAAATACTCCGTGTTATCACACACTACACACATGCGTTCCTCCACACCACATATGTGATACACGAGGACACACCTGTGATCCTTCACGATACACCTGTGATACGCCAGGACACACCTGTGATCCTCCACAACACACCAGTGATACGCCAGGACACACCTGTGATCCTTCACAAAACACCTGTGATCCTTCACAAAACACCTGTGATACGCCAGGACACACCTGTGATCCTCCCCAACACACCCGTGATATGCCAGGACACACCTGTGATACGACAGGACACACATGTGATACGCCAGGACACACCTGTGATACGCCAGAACACACCTGTGATCCTTCACGACACACCTGTGATACGCCAGGGCCGACAACCTTAAAACAGTTTATCAACAGGACCTACATGGTAAAGTGTTAAAAAATGTGAAGCAACCACAAAATCTCTAAGGCAGGGGTGGCCAACCCGCGGCCCGCACAAAACCTCTGAGGCACAAGTGGCCAACCCACGGCCCACACCAAAGCTCTATGGCACAAGTGGGCAACCCGTGGCCCACACAATTTCTAAGGCAGGAGTGGCCAACACGCGGCCCACAAATTTCTAGGGCAGGAGTGGCCAACACGCGGCCCACAAATTTCTAAGGCAGGAGTGGCCAACACGCGGCCCACAAATTTCTAAGGCAGGAGTGGCCAACACGCGGCCCACAAATTTCTAAGGCAGGAGTGGCCAACACGCGGCCCACAAATTTCTAAGGCAGGAGTTGCCAACACGCGGCCCACAAATTTCTAAGGCAGGAGTGGCCAACACGCGACCCAGCACGTTCAATATTGTGGCTCGGTATAAACACACAGTTGACATTAATGACTTAAACACACAGTTGACATTAATGACTTAAACACACAGTTGACATTAATGACTTTAACACACAGTTGACATTAATGACTTAAACACACAGTTGACATTCACGAATTATACAATGCTATTTTGTAGAGTTATGCGCCTGTTAACTAAATTTATGTGTTCCTCAAAGACAACCATACATTTTGTGAAGCATCAAACATGTTCAGGGAAGGGGATCACTGAGCCTCCTTCCCAGTTCTGTCCCCAGACCATATCTTGAATGCACCCCCCTCCCCAAACCCTACCACCGTCAAAGGCCGGCACCTATATATTTACAATAAAGGACTATATACCTATACTATAAATAGGAATGTATACATCCCCCAAAAAAGTCTATGGATTTAATGTCTGTGCATGGTGGTGTGTGTAGACGTTATATCATCTGAGAATTGCGTGCGTTGCTCAAGTGTAAGTATAAATAGATATTTCTGTACATTATCTGAAAGGAGAAATAGCATGCGGCCCGTGAAGAGTGCACTTGCGATCAAGTGGCCGGCCAGCAGTGTTTCTTTTAAGCATGGGGTGGGGGGGGGGGGGGGTTACAAATAATGTGTACTAAAATAAAGTTCAATAAAAAAATTATTAAATTGTCATGGTATAACTCTCCTAATAAATTAGAGAAATGATTGATAAAATTTGCTATGCTCAATGACAACCCCCCCCCCTGGTCTTCAGACCCCCCCCCGCCACACACACACATTCCCTTGGGAGTATGCGACGCCCTGGTGTGCTGCCATGCGAAACCCTGGGTCACGCCACAACAGGAGTGACTTCATTTATATGCCACAATGCCCAATTTGCACACTGATACATGCCCTTACACCACACCCCTTTAAGCCGGGCAAAGGTATATGTCGGTCAATTCCACGATTAAAAACTCTCCAGTAGACCGAAAATGCCAAGAATAAAATGAAAACGGTCCCCGGGAGCGATCCCACCCCCTTTCACCCAGCCTTCTTACGCCACGGGTACTGCCCACCCGAAATGTCACCCCTAACTTCCGGAATGAAAGAAACAATGTCTGTTTCGCCATGTTGGGTTTGCCACTCTTGCTCTCATGTACGACTATTTTAAAATAACATTTCCCGAGTTGTCCTACCCTTTATAACCCCTGATCGCCGGACAGATCCCTTCCATAGACACATTCAGAGATCCCTTCCATAGACACATTCAGAGATCCCTTCCATAGACACATTCAGAGATCCCTTCCATAGACACATTCAGAGATCCCTTCCATAGACACATTCAGAGATCCCTTCCATATACACATTCAGAGATCCCTTCCATAGACACATTCAGAGATCCCTTCCATAGACACATTCAGAGATCCATTCCATAGACACATTCAGAGATCCCTTCCATATACACATTCAGAGATCCCTTCCATATACACATTCAGAGATCCCTTCCATAGACACATTCAGAGATCCATTCCATAGACACATTCAGAGATCCCTTCCATAGACACATTCAGAGATCCCTTCCATAGACACATTCAGAGATCCCTTTCATAAACGCAGTGCGAGATCACTTCCAAAAACACCTTTTTTTCAGAGATCCCATCCGCAGACGCACTTGAGAACAGCTGCATGGGCGTGACATGTGACTAGAACTGCACTTTACAATCGACACTCCCACTATTTAACAACGGCTGATAACAATCATCATTATATCAACAGAGGCATCACACCTGAGTGTCATTTACCAAACTAATGACTCTGTGTGTGTACTGATGTCATTTACCAAACTAATGACTCAGTGTGTGTACTGAAGTCATTTACCAAACAAATGACTCAGTGTACTGATGTCATTTACCAAACTAATGACTCAGTGTGTGTACTGATGTCATTTACCAAACAAATGACTCAGTGTACTGATGTCATTTACCAAACTAATGTCTCCCTGTGTTTACTTGATGTCATTTACCAAACAAATGACTCCCTGTGTGTACTTGATGTCATTTACTAAATTAATGACTCCCTGTGTATACTTGATGTCATTTACCAAACTAATGACTCAGTGTGCGTAGTGATGTCATTTACCAAATAAATGACTTCGTGTGTGTACTTGATGTCATTTACCAAACTAATGACTCAGTGTGCGTACTGATGTCAGTTACCAAATTAATGACTTCGTGTGTGTACTTGATGTCATTTACCAAACTAATGACTCAGTGTGCGTACTGATGTCATTTACCAAATTAATGACTTCGTGTGTGTACTTGATGTCATTTACCAAACTAATGACTCAACGTCATCATGTCCAATTCAGCTTCAAATGTGTGCACTCACCCATCCGCGATGTCATGACAACCCTTCATGATTAGCAGGTCAAGAGTGTCCTCCACTGACCCTTGAGTGACCTCTGCGGGGCAAACCTTACTTCCCAAATTTGACCAACTTTCTAACTGAGCTGAAACTTTGTCCGCGGAACACCATTAGGAGAACGCTGCTCTATCTATACCTGCTCAAAACTTCTGACACTATTACCCCGCCCCCAACACACACACACTCGGGTCAAAGAAGCTATTTCGCAGAAATATCAAATGATGCCCGAATAAGCCATCAATGTGTCACTACGCCAGAAAGTAGTGATTAAGCAAAGGTAGCAACAACCTCAGATGTCGTCAACAAAGGTTGCGATCACCTCAGATGTCGTCAACAAAGGTTGCGATCACCTCAGATGTTGTCAACAAAGGTAGCAACAACCTCAGATGTCGTCAACAAAGGTTGCGATCACCTCAGATGTCGTCAACAAAGGTAGCAACAACCTCAGATGTCGTCAACAAAGGTTGCGATCACCTCAGATGTCGTCAACAAAGGTAACAACAACCTCAGATGTCGTCAACAAAGGTTGCGATCACCTCAGATGTCGTCAACAAAGGTAACAACAACCTCAGATGTCGTCAACAAAGGTTGCGATCACCTCAGATGTCGTCGTCAACAAAGGTAACAACAACCTCAGATGTCGTCAACAAAGGTTGCGATCACCTCAGATGTCGTCAACAAAGGTAACAACAACCTCAGATGTCGTCAACAAAGGTTGCGATCACCTCAGATGTCGTCAACAAAGGTAACAACAACCTCAGATGTATTCAACAAAGGTAACAACAACCTCAGATGTCGTCAACAAAGGTTGCGATTACCTCAGATGTCGTCAACAAAGGTTGCGACAACCTCAGATGTCGTCAGCAAAGGTAGCAACAACCTCAGATGTCGTCAACAAAGCTTGCGATCACCTCAGATGTCGTCAACAAAGGTTGCGATCACCTCAGATGTTGTTAACAAAGGTATCAACAACCTCAGATGTATTCAACAAAGGTTGCGATCACCTCAGATGTTGTCAACAAAGGTAGCAACAACCTCAGATGTCGTCAACAAAGGTAGCAACAACCTCAGATGTCGTCAACAAAGGTTGCGTTCCCCTCAGATGTTGTCAACAAAGGTAACAACAACCTCAGATGTATTCAACAAAGGTAACAACAACCTCAGATGTCGTCAACAAAGGTTGCGATCACCTCAGATGTCGTCAACAAAGGTTGCGACAACCTCAGATGTATTCAACAAAGGTAGCAACAACCTCAGATGTCGTCAACAAAGGTTGCGACAACTTCAGATGTATTCAACAAAGGTAGCAACAACCTCAGATGTATTCAACAAAGGTAGCAACAACCTCAGATGTCGTCAACAAAGGTTGCAACAACTTCAGATGTATTCAACAAAGGTAGCAACAACCTCAGATCTCGTTAACAATGGTAGCAACAACCTCAGATGTCCTCAACAAAGGTAGCAACAACATTAGATGTCGTCAACAAAGGTCGCGACAACATCAGGTGTCGTCAACAAAGGTCGCGACAACATCAGGTGTCGTCAACAAAGGTCGCGACAACATCAGATGAAATAAACAAAGGTGACAACCACTGAAGTTCGGAAAATCCCAGACCACGCAAAGTTACGGGTAAACGTCGACTTTACGGGTAAACCCAATAACATGGCAACATGCGCTGATGTCTGGGTGGGACACATCTACGGTAACTCGTTCTGCAAGTACACAAAGAATCGAAACGTACACAAGATGTACTCATGACCCTGGCTGTCTATGATGTGGGAGTTTTCAACAGCCGGACGACTAAAGTTACTGCCCCTTGACACATGCAACTTTGAAAAAATGTATCGCGTATAATGGTCACATGACATGGGTAATAGTTAGACCTAATATAAAACTAAACACTCATTTAATGCTAAATATAGAACAGAAATGTTGATCTACTCTTCATGCACACAATGAAATGCAAACGAACATGACGGAATAAAACAAATGTGACGCCATGTCATCTTTTCTCTCACTGATCTTTTAAAGTCGATTTCTTTGTCAGTCTGATTTCGCACCACTTTTTTGTGTTAAATCTTCCTCAAAGATTTTAAGTAAAGTAAACGTTTTGTAATAAACTGCTTCAAGGCTGTTACTTTGCATTCTGGTTGACTTCTTTGTCTCTGGTCATTTGACTCAATCAAGTACGAGACTACAGGACTGGTTTCCTCATTGTATTTTCTGACTGAGTCCAGCGTTGATCAACATTCATTATCCAGACCAACTTTAACATTTTATTTACTTTATTGATATTTTTAATACTCCTTTTTTATGAACATAATGTGTTGTTTTTTTAGTTTTTTTTTGTTTTTTTTTCATTTAAACGTTTTCGTGCTCACCCCCACAAATATATAAAATAATAATATGTAAACCCAAGGGAGCCTACAAAAATTGTTCCACATTAAGTTTGCTCATCAAATAGATCGCTATCAACTATTTTCCCTGGTAAGATTTCATTGACATTAGTGACATTTCTGGCTACGTTGTCCCAGGAAGGGAATACTTTCAAAGTCACCCAAGACAAAATGCCAAACTCTTCAAAGCGAAAAGACCAACGCTGTAGATATGCTACACACAGAGGCGTAGCGTGGGTGTTTGGCGCCCGGGGACAAGATTCACACCCGGGGACAAGATCCATTTTAAAGCGCCCCCTTTTCTTTTTTTCAACTCTCAAACCCATTATTTTTACCAATAATATAATATCAAAGCACATTTTGGCGCCCCTAACTAGCTTGCGCCCGGGGACATCTGTCACCCCTGCCCCCCTTCGCTACGACTCTCGCTACACATGTTCCATAGAATGCAAAACTTGCTAAATTTCTATCTCTCTTGCATTTATTTCACCTGCTTCAACGCCGGCCTTGTGTAAACTTTCGCCCTGGGCGAAGCACCCGTTCGGCGCCCCCTTTCTTGGCCCTGCATGGCTCCGCTCTTTTTCCGATTACGAGGTAGGCTGTGGAGCACGTGTTATGATGCTTTACATCATGACATGTAGCTGCCATACGCATTTTAACATGTCCATTAATTGAAACTGTTTAGTTTTTCATTGAGTACTGGATTCTGCTTTAAGCTTGCCATTTAGCGCCCCGGAAAGCATTATGTTCCCCATAGTCTTCTTTCTGCTGAAATAACTGAAAGAGGGATAAGGAAATACGTTATTAATAAATTAATTTCCACGCCCTTTCGGTTGGTCCCAACCCCAGTGTTAGTATCCAAATTAAGAATTAATCTTTCATTGTATGAAAACTCACTGTATGAAAAGCAATTGTACGAAAAGTTAGAATACCGTTTCTCGACCCTTCCACGCCCTTTCGGTTGGTCCCAACCCCAGTGTTAGTATCCAAATTAAGAATTAATCTTTCATTGTATGAAAACTCACTGTATGAAAAGCAATTGTACGAAAAGTTAGAATACCGTTTCTCGACCCCCGGACCCGAGGTTCACATTCACTATAATAACCTAAGGGAATTTAAAGATTTACTTGGGGGCGCCAGGCGCCCCTATGGTCACGGTACCCTTTGGGAGCGCTCAGGTCGCACACCCTAAACACCGGCGTTGCCTGCTGTCTGTTCTAACCTTCCCTGCAGTGGCGTAGCTAGGTCTCGTGTCAACCGGTGCGGTAAACTCATGGTGTCACACCCCCCCCCCCACCCCGCGATTTCCACGGTGGATTTCTTCTTGTTAAATTAAGTCCACAACATAACAATGACACATACAAAACCAAAGTAATTAAAGGTCAGGAGGTCAAATCTATTTAAGAACTGTTACAACGTTAAGTTTGAGTTAGTTTTACAGTCAATTTAATTTATTTAACATTTTTCCTTTCTTAGTCTTCAAAGCTGCAAAACCTGTCAATCACTTGATGACAATCAATATCCCTCACCGTATCACTTTCAATTGATAGTACAGCTAGATCAGAAAGCCTTGACTGCCCCATGGTGGATCGTAAATAGTTCTTGATAAAACTTAGTTTAGAAAAACTTCGCTCACATGTAGCCACAGACACAGTACCGTATCACTTTCAATTGATAGTACAGCTAGATCAGAAAGCCTTGACTGCCCCATGGTGGATCGTAAATAGTTCTTGATAAAACTTAGTTTAGAAAAACTTCGCTCACATGTAGCCACAGACACAGAAATCGTAAGAAACCATTGAAGGCTTAACGAGAGTATTGGAAGAGATTCTAGAAGTTCCATGCAGATATGAATTTCAAAACATCAAATACTGACTAGTCCCTGACTTTGTGCACTTCAATATCATCATCAGCTGCCCGTAGGTGTCTTCTAAGCATGTGTAGTTCTTTAAAAAAAAAAAAAGTTCATCATAACTCATCACAGAAAGGGGTTCATTTTGTAACGGACACCAATAAATCTTCTTCACTTGCTGTCAGTAGACTTTTGGGTTGAACAACCCCAAACACATCTGCTGCTTTCTTGATCGCTGATGATCTGATCTGGGGTTTAGAATTAAAGCAATTAATATACTCCAGAATATCCTTACTGTTTCCTTGTAGTAGAAATAGTCCAGCATGTATTAATTCTTCTCCTGCCATTCTCCTCTTAAACCTTCATCTTCTCTCTACCGAATTTCCATATAATATCTGATTTTAAAAGTGTCTTGTCAATTAGCATGTTCCACCAAGTGACAGCGCTTCTCGTGCAGAAACAATATTAAAGCCTCTGGGTTGCTCACTACTTTGTCAAGAGTAAAGCCTTTGGTCTGCAGATACTGCTGTGTAAGATTAACTTCCTCAAGTAGATCATGCCAAAGGTAAAGGTTACAGACAAACGTAAAATCACAGACATCCTGTAAAAGACCTTGCGCTGTATGACAATCGTGCTCAAGTGTTAAGGGAGGGTGCTAGTGACGAATCGACGCAAATATTTGTTTTTAAAATATTTCTAAGTTTCGATAGATTTGGTTTCAAACTTATTTTTTTTAAATTTAAATAAATTTAAATTAATTATTAAAAGATATTGGAACATTTTGTAAAATATTATTTTGTTAACCATATAAATGGGTAAAAAGTCAATTTTTTAAAATGTTTTAATTTTTACCGATTTGATTCATGTACCTAGAATCGCCCGACCTCATCGTATTTGGTATCAATGGAATGCTTCATTTCTTAGAAGTTAGATACGTATAGCTTCCGGTTAGTTACGAAAGTTACCGAACACTTCAATCGGAGTGGAATCTTGGTCATAACGGTGTGTTGCTGACCTAATTATAGGAACGGGTCATTTCTGACGCATTAATTTTGAACTTTTAATGAAGGACGCATTTGAATTGGTTGCATGAGGGGAAAATTTACGTATGGTCGGTTATTCTTTTATGAAATTCGGTTAGATCGAGCAGTGTGTGCTCTGTTAGATCGAGCTGTGTGTGCTCTGTAAATATGCACTTTTTAAATTTAGTGTCACCTCTGAGATGGTGTCACCCGGTGCGGTCCGCACCCCCCTCATTACGCCACTGATTTGCTGACATTTTAGCAGACGACTCTTTAATTCCTGATGAAAGGAATTGAAGAGTCTTTGTCTAAAGTGTCTTTTTTTTTTTTTTTTTTTTTAAGGTTAACTGAAACATAGCAAGATTGGTTGTGTAGGAAATACAAAACGATATCTGCAGTTGGGTTTTCAAAAAACAACTGTTTGAGTAGTTCACACTAGGGACCCAAAATCCTGTCAAAGTTTCAAATTGGAAAGCCAGGAGCCACACTTCCCGTGAAGGCCACGGCACAGACTGCACACATAAGTCTCAAGCGGTTTCACACATGTGCAGCAGTGATGCTTAGGTTAACCAGAAATGCACCGCACGATGGCGTTGAAACTATTCACTGCACTGGCCTTTGTGGAGAAATAAGTTAAGACAAATGAAAATAAGGCAAGCAAGTCGTCGCTGGAAATCGTACGGACAAACTGTTCAAATGGAAAGTACGGACAAGTGGGTCGAACACACCAACAGTCCGTACTAAAAACGGACGTCTGGTAACAGTGTCAGTGGCGACGCTACACCAGGTCCCGCCGGGTCCTAGGACCTGGTAAAAAAAAACTTGGGACCTGGCAAATGACCTGGTAAATTTTTATTAGTCACTAATATTGTATATATGCTCATTAAGCGTAAACTACATTACATGTAAGAGACCTTCCATTTGAAATGCCTTTATATGTTTTAATTGTAATTTTTAATACATTTATTTGGGACCCGCCACATTTTTTTAAGACCTGCAAGGGACCCGCCATGTTAAATTTGATGGCGTCGCCACTGTCTGGTAACCCTCAATAAAACGAGTTACTCTGTACGCGCCACATAAGTCAGGATTGTATTTGTACAAGTGCTGTAAGAGTGACAAACAAATTTTTAAAGATACATGTATGAGTCTTTGACAAGTGCTTTGACCTCTTCCCTTCCCACTAGAGGCAAGCGGGACAATCCCTTCTTTAGAAGGGTTATTAGAAGGGTCAACATCAGTTGAACAGAGACACACGGTAATAATTAGCGTCTTATTGTCCTTATCAGCACGAAACAATATACCTCCCTTTGCTTATACTTAAGTTTCTTCAGAATCAACTGACGTAAACACAATGGAAATACATTATACACAGATGAATGACATAAAACCCGCCCCTTGCTTACAAGGAGATGTTGCCATCCTAAGTCTATTTACTTTAGATTTTATAATAATAATAATATTGAAAACAAATTAGAGCAACAGAGATCAATACACAAAGATGATTAGCGTTGATTGCTATAATGGAATGTTTTATCCCGTATCAGGAAATTTGTTGGAAAGACGTTTGATCAAACGTTGATCCACCATGACACCAATGGTGTTGAACAAACTACCAAATAACATCTGTAATCCATAGATTAGATCGTTTGATCAAACGTTGATCCACCATGACACAAATGGTGTTCAACAAACTACTAAATAACATCTGTAATCCATAGATTAGATCGTTTGATCAAACATTGATCCACCATGACACTAATGGTGTTGAACAAACTACCAAATAACATCTGTAATCCATAGATTAGATCGTTTGATCAAACGTTGATCCACCATGACACCAATGGTGTTCAACAAACTACCAAATAACATCTGTAATCCATAGATTTGATGGCCCACTCTACTGTAATAAAATGACATCACTACTGGAAATCTATTACTTTTAATGAGTCTCTGCCATGGTTTCTTTGAAAGAAGCCAAGGCCTAGGTGTTAGAGCTGCAATCCCTGCCTATACTAAATATTTTAGAGCTGCAATCTAGGCCTAGGTGTTCGAGCTGCAATCCCAGCCTATACTATATATTTTAGAGCTGCAATCTAGGCCTAGGTGTTAGAGCTGCAATCCCTGCCTATACTATATATTAGAGCTGCAATCTAGGCCTACATGTTAGAGCTGCAATCCCTGCCTATACTATATATTAGAGCTGCAATCTAGGCCTACGTGTTAGAGCTGCAATCTAGGCCTAGGTATTAGAGCTGCAATCCTTGCCTATTCTATATATTAGAGCTGCAATCTAGGCCTACATGTTAGAGCTGCAATCTCTGCCTATACTATATATTAGAGCTGCAATCTAGGCCTACATGTTAGAGCTGCAATCCCTGCCTATACTATATATTAGAGCTGCAATCTAGGCCTACGTGTTAGAGCTGCAATCTAGGCCTAGGTGTTAGAGCTGCAATCCCTGCCTATTCTATATATTAGAGCTGCAATCTAGGCCTACATGTTAGAGCTGCAATCCCTGCCTATACTATATATTAGAGCTGCAATCTAGGCCTACATGTTAGCAATGTTCCCTCTAAGGTTTGCCGGTTCGTGTGCAAAATCATACAATTGTGTGCAAAGTTTTATAGCATCAGATTTTTAGTGTGCAAAATTTTACAGCCCACAAACACACACTTACATGGAAATTTGCTGCGCGGATACTCAAAACTGCTGCGCGGGTCTGTGAGTGAGCTGCTGGGTGCGCAGCTTAAAGGGAACATGCATGTTAGAGACGTGACCTAGGCCTAGATGTTAGAGCTGCAATCTAGGTCTAAATATTACAGATAAGAACTAGGCCTAGATGTTAGAGTTCCAATCTAGGCCTATAGACTTGCAACCTAACCATATATACATATCAGATTTGCAACCTAACCCTATATAAATATCAGATTTGCAACCAAACCTTATATAAATATCAGATTTGCAACCTAACCCTATATAAATATCAGATTTGCAACCAAACCCTATATAAATATCAGATTTGCAACCTAACCCTATATAAATATCAGATTTGCAACCTAACCCTATATAAATATCAGATTTGCAACCAAACCTTATATAAATATCAGATTTGCAACCAAACCCTATATAAATATCAGATTTGCAACCTAACCCTATATAAATATCAGATTTGCAACCTAACCCTATATAAATATCAGATTTGCAACCTAACCCTATATAAATATCAGATTTGCAACCTAACCCTATATAAATATCAGATTTGCAACCTAGCCTAAATATCAGAGACATGACTTAGGCCTAGAATATTAGAGCTGCAACCTAATCTTTGATTTTAGATGTGCAACCTTGGGCTATATATTAGAGCTGCACCCTAGGCCTTGTTATCACATCTGGAACAGATCAAAATTCATTCTTCCACACCTGGCTTACGCTTAACACAATGCAACCTTACTTACTGGTAAAATGGTCAATTATTCCACACAACTTGTGATTGAATCAGATATACCAGTATGTCTTTGACAGACTTTATCAGGTACAAATATAGATATACCAGTATGTCTTTGACAGACTTTATCAGGTACAAATATAGATATATCAGTATGTCTTTGACAGAAGTTATCAGGTACAAACAGAAAAGGTAAACATGGGAGAGATATTCATGGGTTATAATTTTATTGCACCTAGTTAATTGATTCTAGTCAGTTGACTGTAAAAAAAACTATTATGTATTTGGGTAGTAAGGGGAGAGACTGCAATCAGGTTAGCAAAATAGGAAATGAGTAAAACAAAGTCAGGTTAAACATGAAAACGGGAACGCAAAAAAACGACCAACATGTCGGCAGGAAGCCTTCGTCAAGAATTGTTGCCCTCTCAGATACTACTTCTCAGCTAAGTGCTATTTTTAAAAATTTTATTCTGTTTTTTTCTGTTGTTTGTTCACTGACGAAGGCTTCCTGCCGACACGTTCGTTGTTTTGATGCGCTCCTTTTTTCAGGTTTAACCTGAATTTGTTTTTCTCATTACCTATTATGTGTTTCATAGGTCCTAAATGAATTTGATTGGTCCGAAATGTGTTTGATAGGTCTTACATGTGGTTTGATAGGTCCTACATGTATTCAATAGGTACTACTCTACATTATAACTAAATGCATTATCTATAGCCTAAAGTAGGCCTATGTATATTTGACGAGGCTTAATTAAGACATGTACTACACATCGTCTTCATAAATACCGGTACAATCCTAGTGCTGTATATATAGGCGCTGCATAGGTCTTCATATATTAAAAGGTCTGCATGGTAGCTATAGTATTAAATAGTATTGACATACTATTATATAGTAAATATACTTAAAGCCCTAAACCTACTGCCTAATGATAGCCTAAACTTTTAAGAGTCACATATTAATATTGAACTATCTAATCATGTGATACTATTACTGATACTCTATTTGTGAATGACTGTTATGAAAATTCAAAAATTAGACTCTATATATTTCTATTTAACTTAAATATAACATAAAAGTAAAAAGCCCTAAGGCCAGCGGTTCTCAACCTGTGGGTCGCGACCCCTTTGGGACCCTTTTATATATCCTTACAGCTATGAAGTAGCAACGAAAATAACTGTGTGGCTGGGGGGTCGCCAATGACACGAGAAACTGTATTAATTAAGGGGTCGCGGCACTAGAAAGGATGAGAGCCACTGCCTAAGGCCATAGCCATGGTCATAGATTAGATTTTTTTTTTTCTAAAATAAAATTACTAGAATAAGAATGATTCAATTAATTATTTGACTTAGTTTCTTAGCTTAGGCAACTTGGCATTAGAATTTGAATTAGGCCTGATTATTTTTATTTGTATTTTTAACCAATGACAAATGAATATGAGAGATATACTATAATAATATAGACTATAACAGTATAACTATGGTTAGTAATATTGACATAACAATTGAGATTGACAGTTACTACAAACTCAAACATAGGCATAGAAATGTTACATTCATATTCATCATAGTGTAAGTGTAACATAGTATACTAAGTATACTAAGTATACTATTATTATAGGCTACTCATGACATATTCATGTATAATATATTATAGTGACGGTTAATCAGTCATAGTATAGTCATAGTACTAGTACTCGTAGTCATAGTACTCATAGCCACCCCACAAATAAAAAAAAAAATTAATAATAATTAATTTATTAATTATACTTTTAAAAATAATAATAGGCGATTAATATTAATATGAACAATAATTTTAATAATTTAATAATAATAATAATATTCACAAGTACAAGGCCTACCTGATTTATATAATATAATATTTATAAGGCAATGAGGCAAGGTGCTAGTCCAGCTGCAGTTTTCTGACCAACACTTTCTTACTCTTAATACACTTTAACCAACGTAATTTTTTTTAAAATAAATAAATAAACCTGAGTGTTGCTAGCGCATATAGTCCTAGTCCTAGCTTAGGCCAATGCCGATACTATTACTATGTCAGTTCATTCATATTCATAATCATATCCAGCTCAGTAATCTAGTCCTAGTGAGTGCCAGTCCAGTCTCAGAGTTGGTGGTGAAACAAACCCTTTCAAACCAATATTAAATAATTTAAGTGTGACCTAAGCTATTTAAAATTGAACAGCTATCGTTGAAGGTCCAATGCATTACACACACTTTGGGAAAAACATACCTGACCGAGCACAACGCGGACTTTAAAGTAAAAACAAGCACACACTTAGATCAGTCCGCTGTGCGAAGCAACAGGTCGGAATGAAACGAAATAACCCGGATAGAACACACCTCTACTGCTTACGATGTGCTGTGTCGAGACTCTAAGCAATTTATGATCTTTATCATGGTCGTGTGTGAATGGCGCACAGGATGGTTGGAGTTTGGATGTGGTAATTTTAACGGTGCGCTTTATCCTCACAAACTTATCTGTTCTAAAATAGAACAGTGGTTCTAAAATAGAACAGTGCTACTCAACTTAACTTAAGGGAGAGAAGCTCAGGCGGTCAGAAAATTTAGCGCGAATAGCGAATATATTTAGCTCCCAAAGACGCCAAAGTGGCTATTTTGGCCCTATTATTGCCTACTAACTACTAACTACCATATAAATATAATAAATTCAGTGTCTTGATTTATCCTTGGGCAGTTGTAGAGGCGCTCTTAGGCATAGGCGACCGCCTTGGCCCCACTGCCAAGAGGGCCCCACCGGGCGTATTTTTAAGCCTACAACTTGCAAGTCCATAATATATTATAACCAGGGCCGGCGCTTGACATTTTTTAGGTTGGGTGAAAATAGGCAATTGCCACCCTCTGGAAAATTATGGGAAGAGTTTCAAATTTAATTCTGCCCATTTCGGCGGTTTGGGCGCCTTGGTGCCTGTGTGATGATCATGCACCGTAACCGCCTTGAGCCGGCCCTGATTAGAACTTCACAATTCACAAACTCTGTTCTCTCCTCAGCTCCGGGAGTCCGGGAGAGTTCAGGACCCCCCTTACGGAGCCCCTAACCTACGCTTCTTGTCTAGGGCCCCCAGAATCCTAAGAAAGGCAATGACAGTAGAGACTGTGATAAGATGTGACGCGCTAAATCGAGTTGCACACACGTAGTTTCCCCTCCAATTGAACAAAAAAAATTATATATAATAGTCAACACAACTCGACAGTTTATTGAAATTTTGAAAATATTCAAAGCTATGAATAATTTGTATTTACAATTGGAAGACTTCAATGATAAGCTATAGTGTGACTGAAATGACGATCATCTGTCAGCAACTTTTCTGACTGGCTTTCCTGTGTAAAGTAGAATTTGACCTATGCCGCTGGGCTTCTCTTGACCTGTGCCGCTGGGCTTCTCTTGACCTGTGCCGCTGGGCTTCTCTTGACCTGTGCCGCTGGGCTTCTCTTGACCTGTGCCGCTGGGTTTCTCTTGACTTGTGCCGCTGGGCTTCTCTTGACCTGTGCCGCTGGGCTTCTCTTGC